CTGAACCAGTGTGGGGCGGGGCAGGACAGGGGGTGAGGAGGTGGGTGAAAGGGCCTCAGTGAGGCCAGGCGGTGAAAGGCCTGAAAGGTGGGGGGAGAAAGCATGTGAGCACGAGGTTGCCGAGCGCTGTCAGATTGCAGGGGCTCATCTGGGCCGATGGGCAGAGGGAGGAGGTGCTGGACTGGGGGTCCAGTGGAAGGTGGGTGAGAGAGGAAAGCCAGCACAAGAAGGGACAGGCAGGAGGGGAGAGCCAGAACTTGCCTCATGACAGGGCGAATCTGGGGTCCCATCACGATATCTGAGGGTCTAAGGGGACATCAGGTGGGCACTTGGGACACGTGAGATGCGAGGGTGAGCTGGGCTGGAGGGAGCCTACAAAGGATGAAGTCGCCCGGGAGAGGGGGGTTAGGCTGAGGCCCATGACCCATGGAGGTCTGTCATCACACACCAAGAGTGTCTGCGTAGACCGAGGCATGTTACAGGCTGAAGGTGGCCTCTGGGCTTAACAACCAGCAGGACTGGCCTTCAGAGGGGGCCACCTTCCCGGAGTGATGGCTGCGGGCACTGCAGGTGGCAGGAAATGCAGGCAGTGTCGCCAGCCTTGGGGAGGCGGGGCAGTGACAGGTGAGCAGAACTACCTCCCCCTGCAGGGGGAGCCCGGAGAGCATGCAGGATACCAGGATCCTGTCAAAGGTGTTCCCGCAACAGCCCTCAGTGACAGGACGCTCCTCCTACAGCAGTGTAGGGGACAGTGGGGGTAGGACGCAGAGCCAGGTGGGGGCTCTACCCAGACTGCAGGACACAGGAACAGCTCTACCCAGAAGCAGAGCAAGCAGCCGGGGCTGGAGGGGCTGCAGGCTGACACGGCCCTGTGGGGGCTGGGACAGCGGCCAGTCTCAGCACAGAGGCCCTCACTGCTCGGGGTCACACTGAGTTGGCTCGCAGGCTTGGCCTTAGGTCCCTAAAATACTAGTCCATCCTGGTTGAGAGGCACAGGGAGGTTGACAGAGGCGTGGCCAGGGCCGCCTCAGCTGTGAGCTCCACCAGCCAGAGCCACACCTGTCCCAGCCCCTGCCTTGTCCCCAGCACCAGGCCCAGGGGCGTGCACAGGAGGCACAAACTGGGGTCTCTTGGCCGGAGACCAAGGCAGGGCCAGCTCCAGTCCCGTGCCCAGCTCCCCTGGTCAAGGACAGCACAGAGACGCACGATCGACATTTATTGTCAGCTGCCCTCAGCAGGCCAGCCTGGGGCTGGGGGCCCGGCTCCTCATGGAACGTGGTCTGAGGCCTGGGGCGGCCCTGGAGCCCGCCAGCCCTCCCCTGAGGCTCTTCAGGCCCAGAAGTCTGGTGGGGCCAGTCAGACCCAGCAGCACTGCCCTTGTGGAGAAGCAGGAGTTGCAGGGAGAGGTCAGGTCCTGCCCAAGAACCTGCTGAGTCCAACAGCAGCACATGATAGGAGGGAGACTGAGGCAAGAGGGTGGAACCCCAAGGAAAAAGTATCAGGGAGTCTGGAAGTGAGGTGGGAAGGACCAGCATCCTGCAGGCCTCAGCCAGAGCAGATGAGAGGGAGACTTCCAGGTCTTCCCCGCTCCCGGTTTGCGGAAAGGTGAGCAGGGGAAGGGGCTCCAGTCAGTCGGGGGTGAGTCTTGAACAGCCCACCCCTCAGGGATATCTGCAGAACAGCCAGGCTCAGTGGCCCACAATGCCTGGACCCTCTCGCAGGTTCCCACCCCTGGTCCCTGCACTGGAGGGGAGGCCGAGGAGGGTCCTGCAGCCTCATCCCTGCAGGGCTGTCACTGAGCCTTCTTGGTCACCTTCTGGTTCTTCAGCATCACGTAGGTGATGAACAGTCCTGGAATACACAGACCAGAAAAGCCAGGTGAGGTCTGGGACCAGGGCTCCCAGGAGGGCAGAGCAGACGACCCACACACAGGGCCCATGCGGGCCCATCCACCCTCCAGGACACCCCTCGCCTCCTCCTCATTCATTAAGCCACACATCCACTCTCATTCATTCAACCAACGCCAGCTGAGTGCTACTACAGGACAGCTGCTGCATCTGGGGTTTCAGGAGCCACAGGAGAGTACGCCCCACCCCTGATCCACCCACTTGCCCATCAGCCTTTGTCTACCTACTGCCCCGCCCACACCTGCCCACTCAACATCGCTCATCCGCCCACTCCGTCCTGTCATCCTACTGCTGACTCATCCGAATTACTTGCTGTTTGTAACCCAGGGGGCATGAGCACTTGCAGAGAGGCAGGAGGAGAAAGCTCCCCAGTGGGGCATGGTCACACTGCAATCTCTCCTCAATTTCTCCATCCCTCGGGATGTGGAGCAGCTAGAAACATGCACCTGGCATGTTTTTCAAGCTGCCGGTTCTGGGACTTGAACTATGTTGTCAGCCATGTGGGATCTGACTCCCTTAATCATCGGGCCAAACTACTTTATTGATTGATTAAGAGACAGACAGACAGCTACTCTTGACAGGACCTCGTTGCACTGTGGCCCTCTCCTCAGCCAGGATCCAGGCATACCCATCTGAACCCAAGGCGTGCCATGTGGCTCCAAGCAGTGCCCACCACCTGTGCCCTCATGGCTGGGTCCCCGACTACTCTCTTGAGCACCAACTCAAGTGCTCCAGCCTGTGCTTTGTGCCCAAGACACAGTCCATCTCTAGGTAGCCCTGGGAGATAGAGAGGCACAGGAATCTGAGCCAGGGTAACAAGACAGGGACAGGTGGTCAAGGCATGAGCTGTGATAATGAGGGGCGGGGGTGGGAAAAAGGGAGACACGCCATTAGTCCAAAGAGCCCAAGGTGTCAGAAAGGCCAGAGGGGCTACTGACTTGTGGCCTGGATGGATGAGCACAAGAACCCCAGGGGAGGAGGGCAGGAAGCCCCCCGCCCCTGTGCAGCAAGTGCTGAAGTGTGAAAGCATGCTCAGGGGTGGGAGACAGCGGCAGGGCCCTCAGACACCCTGCCCAGAACTGGGAGCGATGACTTACCCACGCACAGGAGCAGCAGGAGGCCCGCAGCGAGTGGGATGGCGACAGCATAGGCTCGGGGCAGGAAATACTTGTGGATGACATGCTCGCTGTCGATGAAAGGCTGCACGGAGGGCGGAGCTCTGGTGAGCACTGGGCCTTGCCCAGCCCCGCGCCCAAACCTCCACCTCCTGCCTCTAAGGGGCCAACCCCAGTCCAAGCCTGGGACAGCATTTGCCGCCAGCATTTTGGGTGTCATGGTTTCCTCTCTTCCTTCTTTTATTTAATAGCTGTGTACGGGACACTTGCTCCGTACCTGCCCTAGATGGTACTGGGGAACCTGGTGGTAAACAGAAGACCAGAGCCCTGCCTAGCGGCACTCACACGTTGACCAAGGGTACAGGAAGAATCCCCAACCTGGGCTCCCGGGTCTTCTTTGTTAACATTTTTTCCAAAGGCTATCAAAGTTCTGCAAGATTTTGCCTCCCAAACACACTACACTTTTTTTTTTTGGAGAGATTTTTGCTATAGGGAGCATGTGCTTGTCCCCAGGGGAGATGGCCACATCGCAATCCTTTCTTTTCCATACTCCTCTCAGGATCTTGGGCACACACACACACACACATGCACTGGCAGAATTTTTTAAATTGCCAGGTCTGGACTCGAACCACCGTCGATTGTGTGGGAGTCCAGCAGCATAATCATTATGCCATCTGCTGTCCACTACACGTTTTACACAATAACCAACACATTTTCCAACAAGGAAAAAACCTTTACAAAATCCACTGCCACTGGCTGTGCCCAGGAGCCAGCGGGCTAAGCCTTTGGACCTGAACTCTCCACAAAGGCAGAGTCACCGGGAGAACAGGGCTTTACAGCCTAGCATTAGCAATGCGACCTGGGGCCAGACCCTTCCGGGGCCTCGGCTTCCTCATCTATAAACTGCGGACACCGCTAGCATCCTCCTCTGGGGCTGTTCTAGAGGCTGAGATAAGGCAGGTAAAGCACCCAGCACCTAGCGTGTGGTGTCAGGGGGCCTTCAAGATCCAGAATAAGGGAAGGCAAGCCGAGGGCGGGGGAGACGGACATACCAAAAGAATGACCCAGGCGGTGTAGTAGGTGAAGACGATTAGGCTAATGGCGACGAGGCCGAATCCCACCACCTGGTCTGTCCCCGTGGCCTGCAGAAAAAGGAGGGCTCAGCTGACGCAATGACTCTCCGATCAGGTGCACTAGCGGACGGGGGGGCGCCCAGGCCTGCTTATGCTCTTCCCATTCCGCGACAGACAAGGAGTCTGACTAGCTATCAATTTCCAGGCGTGGAGGGACTGCCGGGCCTCGGCGTTTTCGTCCGTACAAAGGACCGGCGGGAGAGTGATCTCGAGTCCAAGGGTCCAAGCTCCAGCTCGCGGGCAGACCCAGGGCCCCATCCCTAGACGCCGCCACCTCCAATACCGCGCCCAAGTCTCACCATGTCCCCAGCGCTCCGCCACGGGAGCAGCAAGCCACATCCGCTTCCGCATCCGGGCTTTTCGCCGCGGGGCATGCCGGGAGTCGTAGGCCCCGAGCGGACCCAGGATCCCGTTACCCGAGAACAGCAGGCACCGCCTCCGCCACCCCGTTGCATGCCGGGAAATGTAGTTCTCAAGGGCGTCGTGGAGCGGGTTGTGCCTGGAATCTCCGTAGAGAATGGGAGAGTTGGGAACACAGACTGCCTGGCCCTCGTGGCCGCAGTCCTGACGGACCCTTGTCCCCCTCAAAGAGCCCATCTCTAACACTTCGGAGTCTTTTAGCCGGAGGGGGACGGGAACGCGAGGTCGGAAGTCCGTTTTTCAGATGGGGAAAGTGAGGCTCAGATCAGTTGGAGTCAATGGCGAAGCCACTGACCTAGGCCCTAACCTGTCCCAGCCGGCCGGGAGGGGAGGATTTACAACGACCCCGCCCTTCCTTCACCTGCTGCTGCCTCTGGAACCCTGGGTTTCCCACTGGCCCTGTGGGCAGGCCCATCCCGTCTCCGAGGCCGCTTCCGCTAACAAGGGGAGGTTGGGTTGGAACTGTTGGGACCAGATCCTTCCTTTCAGCTCCTCTTTCATTTTCATTTGCCAGGTGGCACTGACATTGCCAGAGTGGGAGAGGGAGGGAAGGGGTAAGGTACCCGAAGTGGCGGGCGCACAGCAATCCCTTCTCCATCTCCCATCGGCTGGGATTTGGGGCAGGCATTCACATTCTCGGAGTTTCACCCCCTGCAGCCTGGGGCTCCAACTGCGTGGCCGGCCATGTAGGATCAGGCTCCCTTAACCATGAGGCCACTGCTGTCCCCAGAGTCTATATATTTTTCAGGTTTGCAGGAGAGACAGAGAAAGGGACAGTGAGACGTCAACCCCTACAGAGGATGGCCATGTGGTAACCCCTTCTTCTCCTCTCACCAGAGAGAGTAATCACCCCCGAGGGGGAGGGCTATGCCGCAATTCCTTCTCCTTCAGTCTCCTCTTGGGATTTTGGGCACATACATGCCCACAGTGATTTTATTTTTTAAGTAGATTTTTGCTGTAAGGTGCGTGTTCTTACCAGAGAGACAGTGACAGAAAGGAAGAAATCACCCCCCAGGGAGGACAGCCACGCTGTGACCCCTTTTCCTCCATTCTCCGCTCGGGATCTTGGAGAAAGTAACTTTCTTAAGCTTATTTATTTTCTTCACAGGAGGGAGGGGGAAGGCACCAGCAGGGCCCCCCATCATGATCCTCCCTGCAGCCCTGCAGGGGCACGGCCGGCATGTTTAGGTAGACCTCAGGACTGGCCCAGGTCATCCTCAAAGCTGCTTTTCCAGCTCCAGGGTCTGGAGCGCATCTTCCCACCCTCCCTCCTGGTGCGGGCTGCTCCTCGCCCATCAGGTCTCACTGAGGTGCCACCACTCCCATCCCCCCCCACACACACCCAGCAGCAAGCTGCTTTGCAGCCGGAGCCAGGGCCTCCTCCACAGCCCCAGCGTGTCTCCACCCTGTGTCACTGCTTAACCAGCTGACTCACTTGTTGATCTGACCCTCCTGACAGGGCTCCCTAAGGACAGGGCCTGTGGTCACTACTGGCAAGGGAACCACAGCACGGCCAGACCCTGTCAAACGTACTCTCTATGAAAGAAACACATTTTAAAAAGGAAAGAAAATGGGGCCAGCAGGTGGTGAGGTTAAGGCACTGGATCCCACATGAGGGAGGTGGAAGGCATCCAGCCACGTGGCCATCCCAGACCCAGTGGCATGAAAAACATGTCGGGTGTGTATGTGTGCAGGCCCCAAATCCCAGGAGGATGGAGAAGTGACTGTGGCGTGGCCATCTTCCTTGGGAAGTTATTTTTCTCTCTCTCTGGTGAACACACATACCCCATAACAAAAACTAAAAAAAGTAAAAGGTAGATGCTTTGAATCAACCAGATTTCTTTTTCTTTTTTAAAGATCCTGGGAAGCTAGAGTGCGGCGTTAGGGCCCTCAGACCTCCCTGGGGGCTTCTGTGGAGGCACTGGCCTCTCCAGCTCCATGGCTGGAGGAGAGGTTTGCTGCTCCCACACCGTCTCTTTCTCTGGGCTGTCCAAGCCGATCTCTGATCAGGAGGGAGTGGGTGGGGACCTTCTCCCAACACACACATTCCTAGTGTTTTGTTTTTTGTTTCTTTTTTTTTAGAGGTTTTCGCTATAGGGTGCATGTGCTTGCCAGAAAGACAGAGAGACATAGAGACAGGAAGCGAGAAATCACCCCCCAGAAGGGATGGCCATGCCGCAATCCCTTCTCCTCCATTCTCCTTTCGGGATCTTGGGCACGTACGCACGCACACATGCCCGGCGTGAGTTTAAGCCACCGGGTCTGAGACTCAAACCGCAGTCGACTACGTGGGAGTTCAGCGCCATAGCCACTACTCTAACTGCTGGTCCCAACATTCCTAGTATTTTTCAAGCTATGGGAGCTGGGATTCGAACTACAATTGTCCATGTCCAGCTCTCTTAATCACTAGGTTTACAAGGCTGGCCACGGCTTCTTTCTGATGTGTTCGACCCCAAAGTCAATGTGGTAAAGTGATAAGGTAAACAAAGCAAAACCGAACAAACAAAACCCACAACATTTATTGTTTCCCCCAAAACCAAGACACTGACACTAGGCTGATTTCCCCTTTACAATGTTATTTTCTACAACAGGAGCTGGGACAGAGAGACAACACAGCCCACCGCATCAGAGTGGCGGTGGCGACGTTCTGTTAGAAAGGAGGGAAATGAAAATAAAATGTAAAAGGCCTCCCTCCCTCGTCTCTATCCTCTCCCAAGGACAAAGGGAAGCATGGGCATTCTCCACCCTAGCAGATCGTGCCATGTGGTCGGTTTGTGGGGTGGCCAGGAAAGAAAAAAAAAACCCTAAAAATATTGTAGACCTTTATTTTCTTTAAATCTCCTAGTAAAAACGTTAAACTGTCTTTCAAGAAGATTCCAAACTGGCATTGCATAGACCAATTCCTTTCCAAAAATACCTCTAATATATTCTCTCTAGTGCTCTCCCGAGTCTGCGGGCACCTGGCGGGGAACTGCTGCCAAACGGCTGGGGAGCGGCGCTGGCTCAGGCGCCCAGGGCTCTGGGCCTCTGGCTCCAGCCGGTGCTAGTTTGGTCTTGGCCAAAGCCTGACTTAGTCCAATTACCCTGGCCCAGGCCCTGGCCCAGGCGGCCACGGTGGGCTCTGTCTCCATCCGGGGTGACTGTCAAGCTCCAAATTCGGCTTGGGTGAGGCTGGGGTTCCTAGTTTGGGGGAGTCTCCCCGACAGAGTCAAAGCCAGCTATTTTGTGCCTGAAGCCTCAAAACTTCCAACCAGACCCCAAATAAACCCTGAATGCACCTCCCCACAAGGCTAGGTGGGGGTCACACAGAAGGGAAGGATGACACCCCCACCCTCTGGGGGTCACTTCACCTGGAGGTGAGTGGTCAGCTTCCTTTTAAAGTGCCAGGTATCTGCAGGCAGGCAGGGACCCCGAGCTGCCCAGAGCCTTCTCTAGCCAGAGTGAATGCTCCGCCCGCCTGGCAGGCACCTCCTAACATTCATTTTCTAAGAGATGGGTGATTCGAACAAAAACCCTACAAAAGGGAGTTCCAAAACTCAGAACCCCAACTCTTGCCAACTGGGGCAGATGGGGACCTGGGTAAGGGACCCTCCCGCCTGGGGAGGACACCCCACCCCTTCTAGAGAGAAAACCAAAATCCTGGCCCCTCACAGAGAACCCAGCCCTGCTGGGTCCAGCCGGCAGGTGGGACAGAGGACAGAACAGAGAACCTCCCCTCACCTGGGGGAGGAGAAAATAACCAAATGAAACTCCCCTCAAAAAAAGACAAAAGAAGATGGAAGGAAGGGAAGAAAGCTACAGGGCTAAGAGGACACCAGCCTGCTGGGTTTACACAAAATGAGTGGAATTTAAAAGGGACAGAGAGGTTGTCCAGGGCCTGGCTGCCAGCCAGGCCCACCTTCAAGCAAGTTCCAAGGACGGGGAAAGTGCTGAGAGCAGAGGCTTAAAAGGGGCAGGGGTGGGGCACAGGGCCAGACTGCCCCCGCTGGGAAAACACACCCCGTAAAGGACCCCATTTCTCCCTTGCCCAGATGTGGGGGATGTGTCCAGGAGGAAGGCCGAGGCTTTTCCAGCCATGAAGCCCGCTCCAGGCTGGTCCAGTCCCAGTCCACCTGCCTCTCCAGCACCACCCTGCCTGGGCCAGCTGACCTGAGGGCAGAGAGAGGGCTTCGCTTGCCCAGCCCAGCTGGGCCTCTGCACGTCCTGCAGGGAAGGTGCTGCTCAGGGCCCAGCCCTGGGCAGGGGCACATCCACGCTCAGACCGGTCTGAGCACAGGTCTTGGGCCTGAGGTGGAGCTACCGGGAGGAGGAGGGCAGCACCATGTTCCAGCTGGGCTGCGGGGCCCTGGGCCACTGACCGCACAGCAGGCAGTGCCCAGGAGCACGGGAAGGCCATGGGGCCGGTGGGGGCTGTGCTGGGACAAGCATGTGCAAAGTGCAGGCTGCCGGGGCAGCAGGAGAACATTCTGTTGGGGAGGTGAGGGTCTCAATGTGGAGTGCGGGTGGGGTCTGAGGTCTTGGCTTCCAGGAGGAGGCCGCCAGCGGGTCCCCCAGGGCACAGGGAAGGGACAGCTGAAGCACTAAGCAGTCAGGAGGGTCGCAGATGGCTGGATTCTGGGGTGCCCTGGCACCCCGTGGTAAGTGGGCAATAGAGCAAGGCCCTGCCTGCCAGGCATGACCTTAGCCTGTGCTCATGGAGTGAGTGGGGACATGAGGAGAGGCCCCTCGCCACAGCATGCCCACACACGTAGGGGCTGCTATGTGTGGGCCCAGGGGCTAGGTTGGTCTCCAGCAGGGGCAGTCGGGCTGTCTCCACCTTGCCCCGTGCCCTGTGGGCCTGCATGTCCTGCCCTCTAGTGGTTCAGAGGAGAATATTCACAGTGGTGCCCGGGCCCTGCAGGGCTAGGAGGGTCCGGCATGGGTGGGAGGACAATGGAATGATGCCTTGGGGTTGGTGTGGGCTGGAGTGCGGGCCTGGAGAAGGCAGGAAGAGATGCAGCGCGGATGATGATCCGAAGGGGAAGGTTCCTTGTGGAATGTCGTAGGTCCAGATCCCAGAGAAGGCAGAACCTTTGCCGGCCCAGACACCTGCTTCTCAATGGCTTTCAATCACAACCGGCTCATAGACCCCAGAGGAGACCCTGCAGGGGAGAGACCAGTCAGCTTATCCCCCTGATGCTCCATTTACCACTCATGCTCCTCTGGGCCAGGCCCTTGGAGGGCCTTTTTAGTGGGCACCGCCATCAGGCCCCGTTTTGCAGAGGGGCAAGAACTGAGGCTGAGACGGTGAGTCATGTGCCCAAGACGACACGGATGCTAAGCATCAGAGTCCATGGGAACAGAGCTGGCACAGGTGTGCCTGAGCCCTTGCAGGGCACCCAGGTGTGCCACCTCATCATCACAGTAACCCCCACGGATGAAGACACAGACTCAGAGGGGCCATGAGGTTTGGTGGGAGGGCCGGGGAAGGTTGGAGAGTCTGAGCGGCTCTTCTCCCTCTGCTCCTGTGGGGTCGTGCACCTTCAGGGCTGGGCAGGCAGCTCCACTGAGCATCTTCTGCTGATTAGACTGGCTTCACACTCTCATTTTCAGGGGGTGTTTACAATCTTCGATGAGCGCCCCCCAGCCATATCGCCCATAGGCCAGAGCAGCCAGGAGGCCAACTAAGAGGTGGTGGCTGCCATTTCAGGCCTTGGCCAGCAGGGGTCAGCAGAGCAGCAAGAGAGGCTGGTCACAGGGCCCAGGGTGGGTCTCTTCTGCTCTGGATCTAAGTGTTAGATGGGTACCTTCCTGCCTGGCCCACAGAAACATGGGGAAAAGTCCTCATCATAGCCTCACGTGGGATGCTCCTTCACTCACTCACTCACTCACTCATTCACTCATTCCATGAACCAAAAAGATGTGGTGAGCCAAGCACACGGTGTCCACGCTCTGAGCGAATGCCTGCGAGGACACCCAGCTGTGGCGTTCCATCCCACCGCCACCTCCTCTGCAGACCTACTTCGGGCAGCAACCGTGTGGCTCACAGCTGTACTCCTGGCACCCCGCTCAACAGCTGGTACGGTGCTGGTGCCTCATCAATAAGTGGGTACCACCATCACTTTTTAGGGGTGCTGAGGCCTCAGAGAATGCAAGTAGGGTACCTGTGCTGTGCTCTTGTCCCGGTGGCCCTGGGCCCTGACTCGTCAGCGTTCTCACTGTCCCAGGGTGCCCGGGGAAGTGGGTGCTGTCCTCACCAGATGGGGACACGGAGGCTCAGAAAGATGTGAACAGCCCTAGGTCACATGGTAGTGGTGACAGTTGGCATTCAGAGCCAGGTCAGTAGGTGCAGAGACCCTGCTCTCACCCTGCCCTCCTCTTACCTGTTGGCCAGCTGGACGCCACTCAGCGTGGTGGAGCCATCGCGGCTCACGAACAGCCGGAGGTTACTGTCTGTGGGGACACAGGGGAAGATGCAGGCAGCTCAGCGGGGTGGGCAGCCCCCATCCCGCGCGGGCAGCATCGCCCACCAGCCCACGGCGTGGCCAGCTCACCCTCAGTGTTGCTGCCCTCCGTGAAGTCCTGGCTCTGCATGATCTTCTCCACGATGTCATCTGCGTCAATCCGCGTGTCATCCACCCAGGTTGGGTGGCTCTCCACCGAGTCCTTCTTCCGCCTGGGTGGGGGTGGGGCCAAGCCACAACAGTCAGGGCAGCGGTAGGCCCAGACAGAACGATGCCCACAGCGAGCACCCACCGTGCTTAGAACTGCACTCCCTGACCCCTCGCTGGCCCCCTAGGGTTCAGCGGCTTCTATTACCTGACTTCACAGATGAGGACACGGGGGGCACTGAGAGGTTAAGTAACCCACCCAACGCTGCCTGGTGGAAACATGGCAGCCCTAAGGTCAACCCCAGCTCTGTCAGGCCCACAGACCATGCTCTGGACCAACACGGACATGGCGGCCCCTGCGACATGCCAGGCACAGGCTGCACCTCTAGGACCAAGGCGGACTCTGCACTGTTTGGCCCTCTGAGGTGGGCCCCTCTTGTCCCTGTCACAGGTAAAGCAGCAGACATGCAGGGACGCGTCTGCAGGGTCTGTCTTCCAGGGCGCTCCGAACAGTGGGACTCACCGAAACGAGCGGTCTGACAGATGCAGGGGCCGGGGTGGCCGCGGCGGTTTCTCGGGGGGCCGATGCTCCCGCTCGCTGCCCTCAGGGCCCTCCACGGCCATGCTGAGGCCGCCAGAGGTGCTGCTGCTAGTGGACGTGTTGCGGCGGTGGGTCAGGTCTGAGAGGCTGGAGGAGCGGGAGTGCTCCGTGCTGTAGCCTGGTGGGTGGGAGGCGGTGGCAGGGGTCACTATGGGGTGCCAGGGATGTGGGAGGCCATGGGACAGGGCCAGGCTGCCACTCACCAGAGATCTTGGACTGCTGGCTGGCATAGCTGGAGTTGCGGGAGTGGCCGGAGCGGAACACCTCCTCGGGGCTGGACAGGCTCTGGTCTGGCTCTTCTGGCAGCCCTGGGAGATGGGGAGGGGTGCAGGCCAGTGTTAGTCGGCCCACCTCGGCCCTCACACCGTCCTCTCCTGGGGGCGAGGCACTGGGTACATTCGTTTAACAGAATGAAAAACTGAGCTTCGTAGGTCCAGTAAGTGCCCCGCACCAAGGCTCACCATCTGAACCTGGCCTGTTGGGGACTGCCTCAGGCAGGGCCCCCACTGTGCTGAAACTGAGCCATAATTACCCACCACCCGGAAGGGGTGCAGAGACGGAGCAGTGAGTGTCAGGGACCTGGCCTAGTCTGGGGACCAGGGACAGTTTCTCCAAGGAGATGGCCTAAATGCCCAGACCTCCAGGCACATGGAGGCAGAGCCGAGTAAGGCCGTCCAGGTGGGAGAATGGTGTAAGCAAAGGCTCTGAGGCTGAAATGAGGCTGAAATGAGTTTGGGACGGTGTAGCCGGAGCGGGCGGACTTGGGGGGGAGGGGACAGTATATCTGGAGCGGGCAGAACGGGGGCGGGGGGGACAGGCCAGTGCAAGCAGACAGCCCTACCTCAATCACCCTCAAACCCAACTTCAAAACAAGCTTTCCTGAGGCCGGCAGGTGGCGTGGTGGTTAAGGGCACTGGACTCGCACATGGCTGACTGTGGTTTGAGGCCTTCACATGGCTGACTGTGGTTTGAGTCCTGGACCTGGCAGCTTGCTTTCTCACTTTTTTTTCTCTCTCTCTCTCACTCCATCCCTCTCTGGTCAAATTAAAAATAAATAAATACATAAAGCTAAATAAAATAATTATTTAAAAAAGCTTTCCTGGCACCCCAGCAGGGGGCGCAAAGGGACCAGGAGAGCCTACTCACTAGCTGACCAGGCAACACAAAGCCACAGGAGACTTTTCTAGTTTTTGTTTTGTTTTGTTTTAAGGTTTTCCCCAAAGGGCTTGCCAGAGAGACAGAGCAAGGGAAAGTGAGAAATCACCCCCAGGAATCCCTTCTCCCCTCCTCTCCTGGGATTTTGGGCACAGTGACTCAAGTCTCTGACAGGTTCTCTGCAGAGGCCAGTGGGTGCTCAGATCCCACCCTGCCTGGAGGAAGGGGCTGCTCTCCCACTCTGCACAATGGCACTGTCTGTGCCAGGGTGCCCGGTCCCAACAGATCTCTCCTCTGGGGACCCCCACCCTGGGGCTGGAGAGCACAACCATGCTGGGAAGTCCCCAGGCCAAGCCAGCACCCCAGCACCCACCCAGCTTTCTGCCCTGGGCCTCCCTGGTAGGTAGGTCTGTGGGACAGTGGAATGGTGGGAGGCTGGAGCGGAGGGAGGCTGGAGCGGAGGGAGGCTGGAGCGGAGGGAGGCTGGAGCAGACGGAGGCTGGAGCAGAGGGAGGCTGGCGCCCCTGCACATTGGAGGGCCTTAAGGCGGGGGCCAGCAAGCAGCTGGTCAATCAGTTCACAGCTCCAGGGGCCCTGCGCAGCCCGTCCTGCAGCCAGCCCTGACCAGAAGCAGGTGGGTGGGTGACTGAAGCCTCCTGTCTGGGAGTGCCACTCCCAACTGCTGTGTCCTCTCCCCTGGGCTTTGGGCTCCTAATGCAGTTAGCCACATTGATGACATTTAAAACGTGGTGCCAGCTGAGCACCTACTGTAAGCCAGGCAGGCATGTTTGTTTAGTGAGCCCCAAAGCACCCTAGAGGGTAATTACAACACTCCAGAGAAGGGCCTGAGGCTGGCAAGAAATGGCCAGTCAAGGTCACTGAGCCAGTGGAAGGGCCAGGCTCCTAGCATGTCCCTCTGCCAGGTCCACCTTGACTCACACCCATACTAGAGCTCAGATGCCACCTCCTCAGGGAAGCCTTCCCCGCTGTGCCTGTCTGCCTGGCTCTGGGCTCGCGTGTGATTTCTCATAGTTTGAGTACCACCTGCCTCGCCCCCTGCACTGGAGGCCCATGAGGGCAGGGGGACTGCAGTGGTCTGCTCAGAGCACAGCTGTGACCCTGGGCTCAGTGCCTCCGCCACACATGAGCAGCTCATCCATGTGAAGTGTGGCCCATGCCACGCCGCCCCGCAGCTCTCCCTCCAAGCCAGCTTTTCCCTGGAGCCTGGCCACACTGCGGAGAGAGACACCTCCGGTCACTGGAGGGGAAGAGTAACAAATACAGGCGGGGATGGTACCTGAGCTGAGGATGGTGGGCCGGGCCTTGGGGGGCCGAGAACCCGTCAGGGAGTTGGTGCTGCCACCGCTGCCGTTGCTGGTCCCGCCACCCTTACATGTCAGCTGCAGGGAGGAGTCCTGACCCGGGATGGAGATGGACTTGGCCGTGGACGGAGGCCTTGGGAAGACAGACGGGTGTGACCAGGTGCTTACCTCAGGACTGGATGAAGACGGGGGAGCGTCGCCCACCCTCACCCACGCCAGCACTCACGTCTTGAAGCAGGGGTCTCCAGAGAGCAGGAACATCCCAATGGTGACCTTGGGAAGGGGGAGAAATCAGCCAGGCCTTGGCCACCCACTCCCAGCCCAGACACGTGGCCTCCCAGGAGCCTCCTGGTTCAGGCCTCAAAAAGGCCTAGACTTTGGGACCAGCAGTTGGCGTAATGGCTGTCGCTGGACTCCCACATAGTCGACTGCGGTTCAAGTCCCAGACCCGGTGGCTTAAACTCACACCAGGTGCATGTGCGTGCGTACCCAAGATCCCGAGAGGAGAATGGAGGAGAAGGGATTGCGGCGTG